TAGCTGATTAGAGTGTGGCACCAGGGGCCATCAATTTTGAACCTTTTCACAATATTCTAATTTTCTGATATGATGAATTTGAGATTTTCATTTGTTGTCATTTGTAATCATCAAAATTAAACAAAATAAACATCTGAAATATATGAGTTTGTATGTAATGTATGAATATAATATACAAGTTTCACTTTTTAAATGGAATTACTGAAATCAATCTACTTTTTCATGATATTCTAATTTTATGAGCAGCACCTGTAGTCTTTGGTTAATCTACATTCCTAACCTCACCTATGCTCTCAAACTTTAGGTCATGAGCAAAAGAACCAGATACAAAGGTGTGAAATAAGCTTCCTCTGCAGGGTGGCTGGGCTCTTCCTCAGAGATAGGGTGAACCCCCTGGGTTCCTCTCTTGTTAGATGTTCCAGGCATGTCCAACCTGAAGGAGGCTCCAGGGAACACATATTTCGGTTAAAACCTCTTAACATTAAAATTGCCTTTGAAACGAACTTTAAGCTGGAATGTGTATAAACTATTTCACAATTCAAATCAACGAGGTAGATAAAACATTGTTTGGCAAAATTATATTTGAAAGGTTTGCCTAAATAGAAGGCAATAAAAACTTAGGTAATTGAATGTTAATGTAATTGAATTGCTTCTCAGGGAACAACAAACTTGGTTAGGAACACTTAAAATTATGAAGGAAAACTGTAAGAATGCACTCAGTGGAGGTTTAATTTTACTTAAAGCTTCACTAAAGTATCATTAATATGCTTCTACCCGTGGGTTCCAGAGAGCCCACGGGCCAAAGACAACTTTGTCTTTGCAAACAAAGTTTATACATGGAGAACCCGAGGGGGTACAATGATGTCTAGTGAGACTCGTCCTTCGGGAATGTCCTAATAGGACATTAGCTACAGAATCTCAAACACATGATTTTAACATTCTTGTATAGTCATTGCTAATATTTAACTCACAGCTGTGAGGCACAACACTTGCCTTGTAACACCGTAGGCTGAAGACCGCAAGAGGACAAGTACAAGCATGAAGAATTTTGTGCCAACAATGTTGGATATACTTACCATTGATTAATGTTTATTTAAAACTTCACTTTAAAATATACAGTTTTAAGTATTCAAATAGTAATTTCACTCAGTTTCAAAATGGGATAAAGAACAGGAAATGGATATTTAATTGACCTCACTTTAGTAACTGGGGATTGAGGTACACAGTTAACAGACAATTAGGTATAGAAAGGGCTTATTTTAAAAAAAGTAAAGCCCCGGATGAGCCAACAGCCTATTATTATTATTATTAAAGACACAGATAACTAGTTCAAAAAGCTCCTCCTATCTTTAAGAATATTTACCCTGTGTGGTTTAACTGAAATTGACAAACCTGATAAAGGTTTGAAAGTTGCAACAACCAATTTCATGAGTGTGCACACCCTAAAAGTCATCTTCTGATCCAACTTCAGCATCCTGTCATTTTATATGCAATATATCAGAATCACCCATTTAGGCTTACTGTATGTTTCAAAAATTCTTCAAATATCTTGTACTGTGAGAACAGTTTTACTCACAGCCCTCCTGTGTGCCTTGAAATGTCCTAGTAGACCACCATACTTACTTTTAAATGAATAAAACACAGTGGATTAACACAAAGAACTGATATGACACTATTTAACATCACTGACTAATGCAAAATCATGTTGGACCTGTGCCTGTTTAGACTTTGGGACCTTGAGATATAAACACAATGCAAAATGTGCTTTTTCTGAAAATGGGAGTTTTGGCCAAGCATGAGTATAATAACCACAGCTGAAGCTCATGTTCTGGGTGTTTGTGGGTGGTTACTCTTGAAGCACGCTCCATGGCCGTTTCTCAATAAGCGTACTTGGGCGTTCTCATGTGCCGCAACCCCAGCACTGTTCCAATTCACGAGAACACAAGATGGAGAATGGACAAACTCCCCGGATGTTGTTCTTGACCCTCCCTCTTTACCGAGCATGCATCAGAGCAAACTTGTTTGTTCTTCAGACTGACAGCTTTCCCAGCATGCACGGTGGCAGCAGCAGTTTTCTCGGGAACATCTATAGAGTTCAGACTATTAAGTTAAAAGTTCAATATTCTGTTGCTGTTGTTCAAAGATACAGATTCAGTACAAAGATGTAGTAGAAAATATCACAAGCAAGTTTTTTTTTGGTTTTCTTCAATATAATTTTGTTTTCTGAAACTGTTTTTTTCGCTCTTCATTACATCTTAGTCTTAATAATCAAGATTACTAGATTTAAATGATTTCAAAATGTAATTCTGTGTACTAGGAATGATGAATTAAAGCTTTCTGATCCACTAGAATAAATCAACTCCTAAATAATATTCAATTTTTTTTAGATTTCTTGTATTCTTTAGTGAAAGTCAGAGATGCAAAAGCTGTAATTAAGCAGGTCCGTATCTAAACAGCTTATTTCTCAGGGTTTCGGTGTGGGTGCTGAAGTACGGAAGAGGATTAGGGCCACTGAAAAAAAAATGATTTTTACATTTTATCTGAGTATAATATGAGAAAAAAAAATCAGAATTCTGACTTTGATCTCAGAATTCTGATTTTTTTCTAAGAATTCTGACTTTTTCCACAGAATTCTGATTTTACTTTCAGAATTCAGACTTTTTTCCCAGAATTCTGACTTTTTCTTTCAGAATTCTGATGTTTTTATCGGAATTCTGACTTAATTCTTGGAATTCAGACTTTATTCTCGGAATTCTGACTTTATCTCAGAATTCTGACTTTAATCTCAGAATTCTGACTTTATTCTTGGAATTCTGACTTTTTTTCTCAGAATTCTGACTTTAATCTCTGAATTCAGACTATTTCCACAGAATTCTGATTTGACTTTCAGAATTCAGACTTTATTCTCGGAATTCTGACTTTATCTCAGAATTCTGACTTTAATCTCAGAATTCTGACTTTTCTCTCAGAATTCTGACTTTATTCTCGGAATTCTGACTTTATTCTTGGAATTCAGACTTTATTCTCGGAATTCTGACTTTATCTCAGAATTCTGACTTTATTCTCGGAATTCTGACTTTTTTTCTCAGAATTCTGACTTTTTCCACAGAATTCTGATTTTACTTTCAGAATTCAGACTTTTTTCCCAGAATTCTGACTTTTTCTTTCAGAATTCTGATGTTTTTATCGGAATTCTGACTTTATTCTCGGAATTCTGACTTTATCTCAGAATTCTGACTTTAATCTCAGAATTCTGACTTTTCACTCAGAATTCTGACTTTATTCTTGGAATTCTGACTTTTTTTCTCAGAATTCTGACTTTAATCTCTGAATTCAGACTATTTCCACAGAATTCTGATTTGACTTTCAGAATTCAGACTTTATTCTCGGAATTCTGACTTTATCTCAGAATTCTGACTTTAATCTCAGAATTCTGACTTTTCTCTCAGAATTCTGACTTTATTCTCGGAATTCTGACTTTATTCTTGGAATTCAGACTTTATTCTCGGAATTCTGACTTTATCTCAGAATTCTGACTTTATTCTCGGAATTCTGACTTTTTTTCTCAGAATTCTGACTTTTTCCACAGAATTCTGATTTTACTTTCAGAATTCAGACTTTTTTCCCAGAATTCTGACTTTTTCTTTCAGAATTCTGATGTTTTTATCGGAATTCTGACTTTATTCTCGGAATTCTGACTTTATCTCAGAATTCTGACTTTAATCTCAGAATTCTGACTTTTCACTCAGAATTCTGACTTTATTCTTGGAATTCTGACTTTTTTTCTCAGAATTCTGACTTTAATCTCTGAATTCAGACTATTTCCACAGAATTCTGATTTGACTTTCAGAATTCAGACTTTATTCTCGGAATTCTGACTTTATCTCAGAATTCTGACTTTAATCTCAGAATTCTGACTTTTCTCTCAGAATTCTGACTTTATTCTCTGAATTCTGACTTTATTCTTGGAATTCAGACTTTATTCTCGGAATTCTGACTTTATCTCAGAATTCTGACTTTAATCTCAGAATTCTGACTTTATTCTCGGAATTCTGACTTTTTTTCTCAGAATTCTGACTTTAATCTCAGAATTCTGACTTTTCCCACAGAATTCTGACTTTAATCTCAGAATTCTGACTTTTCCCACAGAATTCTGACTTTAATCTCAGAATTCTGACTTTTCCCACAGAATTCTGACTTTAATCTCAGAATTCTGACTTTTTTTTCCCTCAGAATTCTGACTTTGTTCTCAAATAATATGGGAAAAAATAATGCTTATATTAAAAAATCTGTTAACTTTTTAAAAACTTTTTTAGTGGCCCTAATCCTATTTCGTACTTACGACGGAGTATTAGGGCCACACATGAAGAGAAAAAATATTTTTGCCATGACGAGATTAAACTCGACATGTCGACTTTAAAGTCGACATGTCGACATTAAACTCAACATTTCGAGAATAAAGTTGAAATGTCATGTTGAGTTTAATCTCGACGTGTCGACAATAAAGTTGAAATTAGTTCAAGAGAGCCAACCGCTGCACAGGTTACATGCACAGAATCCAGAATCAGACATGCCTTGTGTAGATGATTTGGTCAAATTGTACTTTCTGTGATGATTATACAGTTATACAGTTGCAGCACGTCAAAGACTACCTTCACTCTTAAAACGCAGACTGCAGCTGTGGAGCGCGGTTGCTCTTTTCTCCAAACTTTGGAATGTCGAGATTAAAGTCGCCACGGTATATCAACTTTATTCTCGAAATGGCGAGTTTAAAGTCGACAGGGCGAGTTTAAAGTCGACACGTCGAGATTAAACTCAACAAGACATTTCAACTTTATTCTCGAAATGGCGAGTTTAAAGTCGACATGTCGACTTTAAATACTCCGTCGTACTGGAGGCTTCTTTTGTGCATGGTAAATAGTTTTCCTGCTAAGAGATGGAACTCCACCCTGTATGGGTGTGTGTGCCTACAGTAATCCACTCTGAACCTGGAGGTATGCAGAGCTCCAGGTTCAGTCGGTGATGCTGTTGACAGACAGCTCTGCGCGCGCATCTATGTGCATCTGCGCTTGTTGGAGAGAGACCGAGTGAGCTGCAAGCAGCAACGCTTTAAACAGGGAAGCAGAGCCGCCGGAAGAAGCAGCAGCGGCAAGGTAGTAGCCTTAACTGGACCCAGGCGGTGTAAATCACCAGCGGCACGAGCTCCAGTGACCGTGGGGCGGAGAGGAGGAGGAGGAGGAGGTGGATGAGGAAGAGGTGATACCTGCACCCAGACTCCTTTTACCCCGCCGCCTCCGTAGCGTCTTTTTCCTCGCCCCTCATACCTCTCGGACCGCTTCCTCGTTAAGATGGCTGACCCCAACAGCGACGGTGAGGCTCCGGAGAGCGCGCGCGGCTTCGCCCGCCAGGGAGCCCTGCGCCAGAAGAACGTGCACGAGGTGAAGAACCACAAGTTCATCGCGCGCTTCTTCAAGCAGCCGACCTTCTGCAGCCACTGCACGGACTTCATCTGGTGAGTGTGAACAGGCGAGGCGAAAGGACACAGGTGATCCACTTGCTGCTGCTGCTGCTGCGGCGGCCTCTCTGCTCACATCAGCGCCGCAGTGTTCAAAACCTGTCACTATAAAACAAACCAATACAAGGCGATGCGCCATTCAATGCGACAGCACTGGCGGTCCCTTCAACAGGGGGGGAGATGCTGCTCGGCTTTTCTGTTTTACCGCATCCCCCCCTCCTCCACACCAACCTCTAAACTGGTGGAGGAATGCTGTTGGTTACAAGGGGGGCCGTTGCTTTTATTCATGTTTTTCTGCTTATTATTAATATATCTCTGTCTGTTTCTGCCCACAGGGGTTTCGGGAAGCAGGGATTCCAGTGCCAAGGTAAGAGGCTCATTCACAAACTGCATGACTGTGGGTGGATGGACGGATCTTTGATGTCCAGGGGCGCATCAAGAGGGGGGCAGATTGAGGGCTCTGATGGCAGGTGTCACATAGTATGTAAAACTAATGGACACCCAACAAACTATCCGGGAATATGCAATCATTTTTTTTTTTTAGCAAAGTGAATATGAACAGAGGTGTAGCCAGAAATTTTTTATAAGGGGGGCCAGGCAATAAGCAATTAGCACAGAGGGGTGGCCGAAAGTAGATAGGCACTAGAACCTCAGGATCAATCTACACTGTTCCAACAGGAAAATTATTGAGCAAAACATCCGTATTTTCTACATAAAGACAAACTACACTTTCCTACAGCCTTTACTAACAAATAGACACATATATCTAAACATCTGTAATTTCTAAATAAAAGGTATAGAGGATAAAACTCTTTCAGTTTTAGTTCGGGGGGTATAAATCTTTTCCATTGTCATTAATTACCTACCTGTACCAATAAACATTCTGCATAAAATTGGTATTTACAAGCACTAATATCTACATAAATTGATTATTTGATAAGTCCTGTACTTATCATCTTTGATATTAGTATATTGATATGCATAATTAACCACAAAAAAATTTAAATGTGTTGAATATTCCACTTGAGAGTATTACTGTTTCCACCATCTGTATTAGAGGGGGGGAAATGGTGGGGGTGGCCAATGATTGGCTAAGGGTGGCCATGGCCACCCCTGGCCCCCCATCTAGATCCACTCCTGAATATGAAGAGGATTTGTTAAAAAAACAAACTGGTATGCAATAGTTTTGCCTTATTGATACAGAACCCATTGTATTAAAGTAGGAAATTAAAGTAGGTAGGGATAGAAAAAGGCAGTTTGTGGGTGCAATATAGCAGGGTGGTTAACACCCTAATGAAAGTAGTGCAATAACCAGATGTACTTCTGACCTTTATTCTGCCTCTGTACTGTAAGGTGATAAGTTTGTGAAAGCAATTGTTTAAGTTGTCAACTGGAAGTGTTTCCACGGATTGTGTACCTTTTGCTGTGGTGACACACCTTAACTAAAAGCCTGGAAGTGTGTGGGGACTGGATAGCACACTATACAGGACACACAAAGGCAGAAGAAATCAAATCAATTTAGCAACTAATTAACCCATGGTTTCTCTTAGTTGATGCTGATTTAAATAAGAAGGTTAGAGAAAAAAAAAAACATTAAATCATCAATTAAATCTAAAAGAGCAGTAGCAGAATGTTTCAAAGATTGTTCACTGTTCTCACCTGGTTGCTCTTTTTTTTAACTAACTGATAGAAACTGAAACTGACTGCAATGGATGATAGATTTGATCTGGGCTGAATGTGTTTGAGTTTACATCCGTCATGTTTGAACAATGGATGGACTTTGTTTTGGAATTGTTTGCTGAGATGGCTTTGTTGTGAGATTTTGCTATGTCTACAAAACAGATGGCTTAAGATAAAACAATGAAAAACAGTTGTAGACACTTCTGTTGAAAAATATGTCCCTCAGTTTATTATGAAACATGAAAAAAAAAAACCAAAAGGAAAATGTTTAATTTCATTTTTTTTATTTCTATCAATAAGAATACTTTCACAAATGATCGTTGATTAATAATCAGTATTTTAAAGGGGCTGATAAGAAATAGTTCTGAAGTGAATTCAGACATTTCATCAGTCTTTGATAGAATTTCCATTTGATCTGCTTGGCTTGAAACAGCTTCTGAGAATGGGCCACTCCTCCTGAGAAACACCGGCTTGCACAGGCGCATTTGGCTTATCAGATACTTTTTATTTTTTTGTCTATAAACCGTTTAAAAATATAATATTAAAGCAGGCTTAGTTGTCAATCTAAAAGGTACATTTGTACCCAAGCTTTAACTTGTCAACCAAATGACTTGTTGCTTTCTCATGATGTTATGTTATTCAGGTGGACCAGTCCCACCTAAAGCACCACACCCTCAGAAAAGGATCCCTGTACTTAACACTTAGGGTTATATTTAAAGCCTTCAGTTCCTCCCTCTTTGTCCTCAAGAACAGGCATCCCCAACCTCGGTCCTCGAGGCCCGCTGTCCTGCAGGTTTTAGAGGTTTCCCTGCTTTAGCACAGCTGATTATAATGATTGCAGTAGACCAAAAGCCTGTTAATCAGCTTTCAATTAAAGGAATAGTACACCCAAAACATATATAGGATTTCCTGAAAGCGCGCACACGCGCGCTCACGACGCTACGGAAGCCGGCAGACCAAACCAGATGAAAGTGCGCATTCAGCGTCTGCTCTGTGCTGTTTACCTGTGCAAAGAAAGAAACAACGAAAGAAAAATGTCTGAGGACTTCAGGGTTGAGGAAGAGCATGAGTTCTTTGCCGAGCTGAATGCGCACTTTCATCTGGTTTGGTCTGCCGCGGTTTCCGTAGCGTCGTGAGCGCGCATGTGCGTGCTTTCAGGAAATCCTATACACTACTGTTTATGCTCTAAAAACATTCTAAATGACTTCGTCTCGAGTAAATTCTGGATGCTACCCACTCAGGACAATTGGAATACATTGGACGAGCAGTATGGAGGAATATTGACACGTTTTTTGTGGACTTTTATGGACCTTTCTGTCTCGGTCACCATAGACCTCCATTATTTGAATGTCAGCAGACAGCAAGAAGCCTCCCAGATTTCCAGATGCATTTGAGATATCAAAAAAGTACTCCAGAGTGTTGTTCAGCATGGGGGTGAGTAGAAAATGAAGGCTAATCATGTTTTGGGTGTACTATTCCTTTAAAATCAGCCGTGCTGGAGCAAGGAAACCTCTAAAACCTGCAGGACAGCGGGCCTCGAGGACCAAGGTTGGGGATGCCTGCTCTAGAATAAACAACAGTCATCATGGCCAAGCAATTATAGCTTTATTTCTTTAAACTACAGGAACATGTCTCCAAAAAATGTAATATTAGTAAAATGTAATCTGGGATTTATGTTGCTTCTCAGTTATTGGCTTCTTCTTTGCTGAATGGCATTCCAGCTCTAGTTAATATAGGACTTATTTCCCTGTGAGCAACGATCTGCTCCCTGCAGCTTATCACACACACATGCAGTGTATGTACATATTTTTTTCACTATAGATCCTTGAACACTTGTTAAGAGCCTTTAAGGTTAATTGCTCGATTGAATTATTTCAAATAATCTTGAAGAAAATTAAGTTGGTTTTAGTCAGAACAAAGTTTCCGCAATAACTCCCAGCTGTATTGCTAACTGGATTGGAAAAACAAAATGGATAAGGTATGATATGATGTTCTGAGTCTTTGTGCATCTTGAAACTTCACCTTGGAGGAGCAAATAAAAAGCGGCTTTTCAACCTAATTAATGGCTGCAGACCGCAACTTTATATGGGTGTCTGTGGCCCGCTCCTGTTTGGTTGCTCTGTGTGCGTAATGCAGGTCAGCACTGTCAGAGCGACCTGTTAGCCCTCTCGTTGATGGTATGATGGTGTTGGCAGGTAGGTGTCAAACCCGAGGCAGCCGCTCACCAACGCTGCTAAATGACAGTGAGAACGCTTCGAAGAGGCTAAAGGGAGACGGAGAGAGATGTAAGAGTAGAAGAGTGGAGCGGGCAGTGAAAGCTGAGATGTCTGGAGAGATCATGAGAGGGAGAGGCAGCAGGAAGTTAGATTTCTCCACAGATGCATCTTGACTGGAGCTGTGAAATGGTGGGCCTGCATGTGGGTGAGGGAGGGAGGGAGTGGGTGGGTGGGCGGCAGCTCGTCACACAGTCACTGGTGAGTGGGTGGGTGGGTGTCTAGACACGGATCGCTGCACAAAATGGTTTCACAAAGCAGGCCCTTGCAAAATATAGTAACATCCCTTTAACCACATGTGTGCTACAGTACTGCAGCAAATGTCGTTCTGTTCCCAGTATCACTTCCTCTTCCTCACTAGTCCATCTCAGACACCCACCTGAACTTATTTGGCCCTGGTCATGTGACGCTCCCCTGCCGCTGCACGAGGTCCAGGAAGAAGGCAACCACAGTTTCTATATTAGCCTCCCTGGATTTGAAAGAGTTGTGCAAACCTGGTCATTTTCAAAAGAGGAAAAGGGTGACGTCCCATCATCTCCTGAAGACAACACAATGCTTCACGTGTGTAACTTGAATGCACACATAGAGACCTGTGTTAGGTGAGGTACTCTGAGTTAATAGATCTAGTATTCGTACTGTGAAGGCCAGTTGAGGTCTTGGACAGATCGCTCTGCCTTTTGACAGATCTGGTTTCCTGGTTTCTTTTCATCAGATCCCTGAAAACAAAAAGACACCTAAATATTTGTAAACATTTTTGCATAGCAAACATGAGGCTTTTTTTTCCTACTATATTGTGTGTGTAACTCAGACTCTTGGCTAAAGTTCAGACTAAAGATATAACGCTATCAGTAAAGTTTGCAGTCCTGGAAATTCATGCATATGCAGCGACAGAAACATCACTCAAGTCTGCACCTTGTTTACGTCTTATTCTCATGGTAATATCTTTATCTGAACTATTTTGCAACAGAACTTTTTTTCCTTCCACTAAATTTACTTTTAATTATGTTTTTGAAATGCGTGACGCAAAGTCACCTTGATTTGCAATGACCTGTTGACATTTTTATGTGGGTTCATGTCTGTACAGGTGCATACCCATTAACTGGGCTGCACCTGTACAGCAGAAGACTAAAATATATTGAGTTCTTTTGCATTTGGGAAGAAAAGCGACATGATTGTGGTGTGGGGGAAAAAAAGAAAAAAAAATAGTAGTTTCAGATCAGTAGTATCAGAGGAAGCTGCCGTCTTATCTGTTGTGATAACTGCTTCTGCACTCAAAGCTACATTGAATTTAGGCGTGCACACGCATATTGACAAGTACGCACATGCAGATTCAATTGGTTTAAACTCTATTTATTACTCCTGCTGTCAAGGATGCAGAAACTTCTTTCAGGGTAATAAAATGTTTCTGTGAGTG